AAAAAAAAAAAAAAAAAAAAAAAAAAAAAAAAAAAAAAAAAAAAAAAAAAAACCCTCATTAATGAAGAAAAAAAGAAAAGACTGTTTCAACGGCATGTGAGAGAAGACTGTTGACCTGAATATTCATTACTGTTTGTATCAATAAAGAAGGCAATTAAAGGTGTTCCACCCTGTTTGACTGATTCAGCAACGGGGAAGGATATTTAGTTTCATATAACAATTTAACATTTTAATTTAAGATTAATAAACTATCTTTATTTTGAGAATATTTTGTGATTAGTTATTAAATGGGAATAAATATTTATATGCAATGTCGGCAAGTACTAGAACTATATTCATGTAGTATTAGCCAGATATTTAGTGATATAATAATGACTAAGATAAGAATATGGAGAATATTAAAATAATTATTAAGGAATAAATTAAAAGTCTTCACAACCTAAATTTGAAACTTCAACTAAATTGAAAATTAAACAATTAAAACACTATTTTCAAACTTGGATTTCAACGGAAACTTCAATTGTTTTTGTATAATGTATGTAAAAAAAATCATGTATTTTCAAACATTAGACGTCAAAGTGCCAAAAACAATTTACCTTGTTAATAATATTCAGTCAAACCCACGAAGGAATGGTAAACATTTTGTTAATCGTTCACAAATTTGGCTTGTATTAGTATTGAGACATATTTGTAGCAGCGTGTTAAATGAATTGCCTCCTTGAATCTAATCCTACAAATAAATCCTCTACAAAACAACTGGGCAAGTCTCAAGCTAACTGGCCAATAAAGATCGAAGATCAATTACTCTACCTACGTAAAGTCCTTGACAAAATTAAACTTTGAAATCACGCATGACTGAGATTGTTTTGAAAACCAACAAGATTGACAAATCGGCATGCCGCCTTGAGGCAATGCTCATCCATGAATTAATATAGAGGGTTGAGACCCCATAAGACAATGTCGCAATAGTTGGTGTGAAAACACTATAGGTCATTCGAAGTCATTCAAAAGATTAGGAAGACATCATATAAGATCTAATTTCTCTCATGGATATGGACTAACTTTGTTGTCCATGTTAGTAACTTGAAACGATACTGTCTCGATCAGGAAGATACAAAGCACAATGACGTGATACGACATCCTATCACAAAGAAGAATGCTAACGCAAAGGAAGTAGAAGGGATTCTGGCTTGTTGATGAATCGATAAGAGATTTTCAACAGTTTCTCGCATACTTGAATAGGCTCCTTAACGATGAGATCAGTTGAAAACGCGTCGAGAGACCTCAAGTCAGTCTCCTCCTACATTGTTAAGTTCATGAAGAGTTAGTTGATAGAGATGTCAACCAATTGAGTGAAGGAGGGCATCACAGTCATACTTGTCCAAGACATGTTGCATGTGGCCTCATGTTAGATGTTCCAATCATGCTTGTCCAAGGTGTATTTCCTATGACCGCATTCGTTTTCCAAACTCTTTTTCTTACTTTCCTGTTTATCTTTACTAGTTTTGTTATGTCAATACGATAGTGTATGATAGTTTGCCAAAATCATGTCTACATCTATCAAGACTAAAATGCCTCAAAATATACTACAGAGAGATATAACTTGTTGTTAATTCTTCCTACCCAGGTTATACGTTATCAAAGTGTGGTTGTTGCTTATTTTCTTTTAGCTTAGAACAATTACTTTCTTAAAACTGATTCCCAAACGCTTTCTAAAACATTTTTGTCCCAATTTTCAAAAATATTTTTTTGTTGAACAGAGGCGTAGACTTACTCGAAGGTGAGAATAAGTAGTGTACAATTACATTGTAAACGAGTAGGATTGAGTAGGAGTATGGCACCGAGTACTTGTCTCCCTTCAATAACCTTGGGGCTGTTTGGGTTGAGAGTCTATGAGGAGCATACCGCGTACCACTGTATTGGGAATAGGAATATTGTAGTTTTTGAAAGGGTCAAAATTGGAAGGTGAAGCAAGTCAATGACCGAGTTCCTCTTAAAGTGGTGTGGCCGTGGGTAACCCATTCATTGACTCGACTTCAGATTGTTGGCATCATCGCACTCGTCACCTCTCACTGCTATTGCTACTCCACGCAGAAGAGACCAAATCAACCACTCTTAAAGACTAATAAGAACAAGCCACCATTTACCAAAATGACGGTTATACCCTCAGGACCTTCTCAGAACATGCCCCGCCTGCAAACCTTCATAATCTTCTACTCCTTAGTTGTCTTTCTCTCCTTCTTGGAAAACCCCATCTTCCCCTTTTCTCTATATATAAAAATCCCTTTCTTTCCATTCTCAACCCAAATCAATCCAACCCCACTTCTCTCTAAACCGATCTCAATGGCCGGAAACAACCAAATCCCCCAATCGGAGTCGGGATTCGAAGACTGGCTGCCGGAGATGGCGTGCAAGCTCGGGGGAGAGGGGCTGATCGGAGAACTCTGCAACGGATTCAATCTGCTGATGGACCCTGAGAAGGGAGTGATCAATTTGGAGAGCTTGAAGAGGAATGCGGCGGCGCTAGGGCTGGGAGATCAGTCCGACGAGGAGCTGAGAGGCATGTTGAGAGAAGGGGATTTCGACGGCGACGGCGCTCTCAATCAGATGGAATTTTGTGTTCTTATGTTCAGATTAAGTCCGGAGTTGATGGACGCCTCCCGCTACTGCTTCCAACAAAGTCTCCGTCCAGACTTTCCCAATTTTAATTGATTTATTTATTTATTTATTATTATTATTATTATTAGTGAAATATATATAAAAGAAAACACAAATAAATTTGAGTCTCTGCCTATTAAGTTTATTACAACAACATTTACACAACAAAACAAAATAAACAAATTATTGAAGAATTGTAATGGGCGACAAAAAGATCATTACCCTATATGTAAATCTAGCCATGCTTTTTTTGGATTTTCATATATAATAAGAAAAATAAATATTTGATTTATCTCTTTTATCTCTTTTCAATCAATCTTTTTACAATCACTTTTTATTATTATTATTATTATTTGATTTAGTTGGTATAGGTAAGGTTAGATTCTTATATGATTGACTTAAGTCAAAGTCACCTTGGTGTATCCATGTTAGATTTAATCCAAACTTAATTTCAAATAATTTAATTAGTTGAAATGAGTCATATTAACTTTAAACGCTTCCAAAACTATAACAACGCTTCTAAAAAAATGGTAGAAAATGATATAAGCGTATCAACCAAGAAGCTGCGCTAGAGTTGTCAGAAAATTTATAAATTTTGAAGATAATTTTTAAAATAAACTCTATTAGAAGTTAGTATAAGTATAGAGATTGGAAGGGTAACTTATAATTTAAGCATAAAATTAGTTGGGCCTCCTTTATTATTTTTCCCTAAATGGTGGAAATCCGGATCAGACTTGGAAAAAGAAAATTACATTGACTGGAAATTCTCAACTTAATCTTTTGTATGGTTGCATTTGTAAATTGCACAAATCCAAGGCTTAACAACTGGTGCCTCCTCCTATAATACAATATGCAATAGACAAGGTAGCTATGCAGATGTTCATTCCAGCTACCTACAAAATCTATGGCTTAGGCTGCTAGCATATCTTCCATATCAATTTAGCGATGAAAGTCCAAGTTTGTAAACTCATCTACAAATGTGAGGTGGATTAGGCATCTCGGTCGCAGATGATAAATAGTAACACACCATGTAGTCAGACCACCTCATCATCTTTGATATAACTATGTCCACTTATCCATTTTGTACGTAGACTGCGAGATCCCAAATCGGTTGGAGAGGAGAACGAAGCTTCTGTAAGGGTGCGGAAACCTCTCCCTAGCAGATGCATTTTAAAAACCTTGAAGGGAAGCTCAAAAGGGAGTTCAAAGAGGACAATATCTGCTAGTAGTGGGTATAAGCTGTTACAAATGGTATTAGAGCCAAACACTGAACGATGTGCCAAAGAGAAGGCTGAGTCCCAAAGGGGGTGGACACGAGGCAGTGTGCCAGCAAGGACACTGGGCCCAGAAGTGGGGTGGATTGGGTGGTCCCACATCGATTGGAGAAGGGAATGAAGGGGGTGGATTGTGAGATCCCACATCAATTGGGGAGGAGAACGAAACATTCTTTATAAGGGTGTGGAAACCTCTCCATAGTAGACACGTTTTAAAAACCTTGAAGGGAAGCCCAAAAGAGAAGCCTAAAGAAGACAATATCTGTTAGCGCAGGGATTAGACCATTACAAATGGTATCAGAACCAGACACCGCGCGATGTGCCAGCAAGGACGCTGGGTTCCGAAGGGGAGTGGATTGGGGGTCCTACATTATCGGTTGGGGAGAAAAATGAAGCATTTTTTATAAGAGTGTGGAAACCTTTCCCTAGCAGGTGCATTTTAAAAATCTCGAGGGTAGGCCCAAAAGGGAAGATCCAAAGAGGACAATATCAGCTAGCAATGAGCTTGGGCTGTTACATAGACTTTCTTAGAATGAAATGCATTGATTTAGTCAGCCTATCATAACTACCCATATCATTGTGTAGCCTTCTCTCGTCTTTGAAAACTCTCATTCTGATGATAAGGAGAACCTCCGAGCCCAATTTGCCCTCTCTTGCTGCCATAATCAATCTAAGTAGGGATCCTCCGTCTGAGTATCTATTATGCATTGTCTTAAGAACAATTAAAGTCTAAACTATGCTAGTCACGGCGCTACGCGCCCCTAACTAATACCTCTATCTTGGCTCACTCTAGGTTAGTTCGAATCTATCCTTTTCTTGTTATCAGAGCGGACATATAAGTCATCTTTCTTCTCAAGTGATATGAACCAATTATAAGGTAACGACTTATTTTTTGAGGGCTCGAGTCACGGACCATTACTGACATAAAATATTAGAAAAAACTCATAAATTTTAAACTTTTAATGTATGCACTAAAAAGAAAGGTTAGATTTCAAACAATGTTAAAAAAAATATATCATTACAACTGACATACAAGATGACACAAACCCAAAAAAAGCATAACATAGATGGTTCATGAATCCAGAAATACAGAAGTCAAGGGTTCACATAAACATATAAAAAAGGGACAACACATTGGTCTATTCCAAATCTCCATAACCTCCAGCTCGTGTGAACTTTCGCCACAACTGCTCTATCATGCCTCAATTGAAATAAAATTAAAGTGGCATGAAACAATATATAAAATATATTCAATAAGTAGCTTACGATAATTATAGTTCATTATTAAATATCATTGATCTTGGTTGGTTTGTTCGGTGTCATATTCTCATTTGATAATTTGTTAAGCACAAACTTTTCTTATGCTACACTTAGATTTACTCATGCTACCTAAACTCAACTTAGATTGGTTTAGCCAACTCACAAAGTACTACTGTGAACCTCTGCCATTTGCGACAAGTTCAGCCAACTCACCGCTAATCGAAAACATGGAAGATCGAGGAGTGTGCAAGAGATAAAAGAGCCATTGGAACACGATCTTATGTATGTCAAGATGTGGGCTAACCGCAAAGCGCCCAAGAAAACTATTGTTACTTCTAAAGCCACCCACAATTTTATGATGGAGACGAAGTAAAATGCTTGAACATTCTTTGACATCGAGATACGAGACAGATGAAAGCCATCAATCTGATTGCCCTACCTATCTGAGAAGTTGTAAAGGAACTCCAATCAAGATGGAGACTTGGACTGGATATATCGATTTTGTGATTATCAAGATGAATGGCTTCGACATCGTGTTAGGGATGGATTTCCTACTTGAACTCAAAGTCATCTCCACGCCCCTAGCGAAATGCTTAGTAGTAATGGGTCTAACCTGACAATCATTCAGACTAAAGTCCTTCAACTAAAAGGGGTGAAGATGATGTCGGCACAACAATTGAAAAATGATCTTACTCATGATGAACCTACGCTCGCTGCCATTGTCGTGGTTGAGAGGAGCTTGAGTGAGCTAACTCTAAAAGAAACCTCGTGGTCACAACATGAACACCAGGACACAAGGCTAGAAGGTCGGACAAAAGATTTATCTCTACCTAGGCAGATAGATCACGAGATTGATTCTATGTCGGGGCGAGATTACCTACCATAGATGTTTATCATACTGCTCAACCTAAGCTAGCTGAGTTTCACAAATATCTAAATGACTTGTAGAAAGTCAAGTGTATTAGACCCACAAAGATTCTTGTCAGTGATCACCTCAATGTTGGAGAGAGACCCAAACCAACACCTCCTCTGAAGGGGTGAGATGGAGACAAACTTCCTTTGGAGGGTTGAGATGGAGACAAACTTCTGAGATGGAGACAAACTTATGAAGTAACTCATGTTTATTCGAGTATATCATTCAGACATACGAAGAGAAGGACCGATTGGTAACATCAGCCATGACAATTCCAAAATGGAGAAAGAATTTTGATCAAGTTGATGTTGGATCAGCTCCAATTTCAAAGCAACAAAAACCAATGACCGGTGCAAAAATCCTATAGACTAGTCAAAGTCATTTAGAAGGTTGGGAAGGCTTGATATAGGATTCAGTTACTCTCATGGGTGCAAACTAACCCTATTGTCCATGTCAATAACTTGGAACATTACTATCTTGATTAGGAAGACACCAGACATAAGGAGGTGGTACGACCTCATGCCACGAAGAAAAATTCCACAACAAAGAAAGTATGAGAGAATTCAATAGAGAAGACACGAAGAGATTACAAATCGAGAAGTAATTTTCAACAGTTTCTGGTACATTGAAATAAACTCTTCAATGCCGAGATCAGCTGGAAGCACATCGAGAGACTTGAAGTCAGCTTCATCCTACATCACTGAGTTCGTGAAGAGTTGGTTGACAAAGACGTTAATCAATTGAGTGGGAAAAATGTCACGATCATGCTTGTCCAAGGCATGTTGCATGTGGCGGTATGTAGAATGTACCAGTCATACTTTTCTAGAGGGTGTTGTTACAGGATTTATACCCTTCCAAACCTCTTTTACTTGGTTTCATGTATAGTTAAGTCTTTACTATCCGTGTCATGTCAATATGGAGGTGTATGATCGTTCACTAAAATCATGTAACATCTACCTGGGTTGTAATACCCCCAAAATGTATTATAGGGGATGTGGCTAGTCGTCAATTTTTCTACCTTGGTTATATGCTATCAAAGTTGTGGTTGTTGCATATTTGCTTTTAGCCTATAACATTTCTTTCTCTCGAATATCTTTTAACACATTTTCTCACTCACATTTTATAAAATATTTTCTGTCAAATGTGACTCGAGACTCGATCATACGTCATGATTGTCTGTAAAGTTTGGTTTTCACATAGCTCACTCTTTCATCGGGTTAGAACAAGTGTCGCATAATCCCTGTCTCGTTGCCACAAGAGTGTGGTTGTGACATTTAGCATGTAAATAAGCAAGTCTAGGGTTCAACTACGTGGTTTATATTCTCTACCACCTATTCCTAATTGTCATTGGATTGCTATATCAATGGATTTTGTTTTAGGCTTACCGAACTAGAAAATATATGATATCATCTTTGTGGTAGTCGATCGACTTAGTAAAATGACTCATTTTATTCCTTGTCACAAAATTTGATGCAAAACATATTGCTGACTTGTTCATTGAGAAAATTTGTACGATTGTATTGCAGTCCTAAAAGCATAGTTTGTGAACAGGAAGTTAAATCTTTAAACGAACTTTTGGCGTATTTTGTGGGATAATTTTGGAACTAAGCTAGTATATTCAACTACTTGTCATCAATAAATATGTTCAAATTGAGGTTATTAATACAACCATGACTACTTTCTTAGGGTTATTATGGATAAGAATATCAAGACTTGGGAGGAATGTTTGTCATTTCTAGAATTTGCATATAAAAGGTTGTTCATTGCATTACTAAATGCACTCGTTTTGAAATCGTTTATGACTGTAATCCTTTAATC